GAAGCAGCAGTCAAGAGATCAGACGACGTATTGCATTAGGCAAATCTGCACAAGACCTTTTTAAATTGTTGAAGAGCAAAGATGTCAGCTTGAATACTAAGGTGTGCCTGACCCAAGCCATGGGATTTTCAATAACCTCATATGCATGAGAAAGCTGGCCAGTGAATAAGGAAGACCGTAGTAGAATTGATGCTTTTGAGTTATGGTATTGGAGGAGAATATTGAAATGCCATGGGCTGCCAAAAGAACCAATAGATCCGTTTTGGAAGAAGTGCAGCTAGAGTGCTCCTTAGAGGCCAAGATGGCCAAACTTTGTCTCTCATACTTTGGACATATTGTCAAGAGGGAGCAGTCCCTGGAGAAGGATATCATGTTTAGTAAGGTGGAGGGGTCAGAGGAAAAGAGGAAGACCCCCCAGCAAGATTGATTGACCAAGTGGCAGCATTGATGGACTCAAGCGTGGCAACAGTAGTGTAGGTTGGCCCAGGATCGGGCAGTGTTTCGTTCTGCTGTGTATAAGGTCGCTATGGGTTGGTACCGACTCAATGGCACCTAACAACAACAACAACAACAACATGATTTTTTAAAAGTTAATCATTGTTCTATTGTAGGAGATAAGCCTTTAACAGTATTAAATCCAGATATTGTATCATCACCTTCCCCAGAACTCATTGCACTTAATGTCTTTCTCTAGAAACAGTTATTGTTCTAGCTGATAGCTTATGGAAATAGTTATATATAACTTACAAAATGTGATTCTTTAAAATCCATGCAAGCAGTGTTTTTTATTGCTTTAAGATAGCATATGGACTAAGATACGCCTGACCCAAACCATGGTATTTTTAATAACCTCACATGCATGCGAAAGCTGAACAGTAAACAAGGAAGACCATAGAGGAATTGATGCTTTTGAGTTCTGGTGTTGGAGGAAAATATTGAAAGTGCCACGGGCTGCCAAAGGAACCAACAGATCTGTTTTGGAAGAAGTGCAGCCAGAGTGCTCCTTAGAGGCCAAGATGGCCAAACTTCGTCTCTCATACTTCCGACGTATTGTCAGGAGAGACCAGTCACTGGAGAAGGATATCATGTTTGGTAAGGTGGAGGGTCGGAGGAAAAGAGGAAGACCCCCAGCGAGATGGATTGGCAAAGTGGCAGCATCAGTGGGCTCAAGCATGGCAACAACTGTGAGATTGGCCCAGGATCGGGCAGTGTTTCGTTCTGCTGTGTATAAGGTCATTATGAGTCGGTATGGCACCTAACCACAACAACATCTTCATAAACTTGTCTACAAACAAGGAAGCCTACATGGGCACCAGGGATTGGGACTTGGGAATGCAAATCAACCCATAAAATAAGTAGGGAGCTTCCAGAACCAAAGCTTGCTCTCTCTCTCTCTCTCTCTCTCTCTCTCTCTCTCTCTCTCTCTCTCTCTCAATTGGAAAGATTCTGAAAGGCTGATGGAATCCTTTGCCCAAGGCACTTGAAATTCTTATTTTCAAGATAAGAACATGTCATGAATATTGAAAACATTTGTTGATTTTGATTATTTTTCTAAAATTCAAATTCAAAATTCCACCTTGGGAAACTATTAAACCTTTATATGACATTTAAAAACAAAAGTCAGAAGCAATCCAAAATGTTCTTTTCTAAGTGAGTTACAGGGTTGGCTCCATTATGGAGAGTGTGGGGTAATTAAGGCACAACAGAGATCCGAATTTGGAGCTCAGAGGTTTGATTTGAGATTGAACAATTGTTAGGATGACTGTATGTCTACAAGAATGGCATTTTCATTAAAACTGTGAACGGTTAAATTCAGATGCTGTAATGGAGCTTTTTTGTATTATAACACTAGAGAAACCAGTAATCCAATTAGGGAGCTGAAAGGCCCCTCTTAGGGTGGCCTAAAGGTCTTCAGAAAATCATGAAAGTGGTAAATACCAGTGAAGCATTCGTATAAAATGTATTTTTCTGCTTCCCAATGAACATGAACAGAACTGAAATCTTCATTGTCTTTATTGTTTTTGGTTTAAGTGCATTAGGTATGGTGGCGGTGTGTAGTCGAGTCAGTTCTGACTCAAAGCAACCCTGGACAGAGTATTGGAGGCTATAAATATTTACAGGTTCAGAAAGCCTCATCTTTCTCTCTCAGATTGGCTGACAGATTCAAGCTGCTGACCCTGCAGTTAGCAGTCCATACCCACTGCACTGCCAGGAATTCTGTATCCTGAGACTGATGAAACCAAACCAAACCCACTGCTGGCAAGCACTTTGGGACTCAGGGCAACCCAATACAGGGTTTCTGAGACAGTCAGTCTCTATGGGAGCAAGAGGCCTCATCTTCCTTCTGGGGAGCAGCTGGTGGGTTTGAACCACTGACATGGCAGTTACCAGCCCAAGGTAGTTGCTTTGCACTTTGTAATTAGTTGCTGTTGATCCCATTTCAACGCATGGTGACCCTCATACAAAAAAAAAAAAAAAAAAAAGAAATTCTGGGGGAGGAAAAGATAACACAAGCTTGGTTAACAAGCATTTTGTTAAAAACAAAAGAAAACAAAACAAAAAAGACCCTCAGCTAATCATCTCTGAGGTAAGCAGTGGGAATTTGGAGGGCCTAAGGAGCTCTGGTAGCGTAGTGGTTACGAATCGGGCTGCAAACTGCAAGGTCAGCAGTTCGAAACTACCAGCTGTTCCATGGGAGAAAGATGAGACTTTCTACTTCCCTAAAGATTTACAGCCTCAGAAACCCTGCACAGGGTCACTATGAGTCGGAACCGACTCCACAGCACACAGCCACCACCGTCACCAGGGTCTCTTGACCTTGTTCTAAGGAGCTCTGGTTGTACTGAGTGTTAAGCATTGGGCAGCTAATTACAGACTCTGCCGATTAAACCCACCAGGCACTCCTGGTGAAACATAAAGACTGTCGGCTCCAACAGAGATTTAGGGTCTTGATTACAATGAGGTTTTTTTCCTGGTTGTCCTTGTTCTAGATATATATGTGACATCTGTGCATCTTATCTAAGTCACTGGGGGGAGGGGGTTTGGCAGTAAGGCAATCCCTGGGGAACACAACTGTGGTAAATTTCTGTAAACCTCACTGTTTTCCAGTATCACCTGGCTCAGGAAAAGTTCAACATTGTCAAAGGACACAAAAGTGCCTGTGATAATACACACAGTTCACATATTCAACATTGTCCCAATTCTCCCTGAATTCACTTGTTAGGGCACAAAAATGAAATCTACCACGGTGGCTGGGAAAGCCTCTTGGGCAGCTCAGGCCTTCTACTGGGGCAATAACGCACTCCATGATGGCCCTGACTTTGCACACACTGCAGAAAACATCCAGGTCTACCTGTAAGCCAGGTGTGGAATGCTGGAGTAAAGCACAGGTGTACACACCTGGGTCATGGAGGAAGCCTTTCTCTGGGAGGTAAAGTTGACCCCTCACATGTTGTGCATCTAACACAACATACAACAAGTAGCCTTGCTCACCGAACTCACCTGGCTTTCCAGGCCTGCTCTGTTTAAAGGTGTGTTGTTGTTGTTATTAAGAGTGTCGAGTCGGTTCCGACCCACAGTGACCCTGTACAGGGTTTCCAAAGGAGCAGCTGATGAGTTGGAACTGCTGACCTTGTAGTCGAGTACTTATACTACAGCACCACACCAGGACTCTGCTTAGAGGTGTAGCATAGGTGAAGGTCAAGCTGGACGGCTCAGACTCTTGTCTGACCTAGCAAAACTCTTCATCCCCACCCACACCTCCGGGTTTTCAAGGACCCTTCTAGCTCTCACACACTGGGCTCTATGATGCCCAGGATCGATCTTCTAAACCCACCGTTGAATTCGTCCTTGGAGTCAGTGTTTTAAAGTGAATCTTTACTAGATGGAGATGGGACATAAGGCTGATGTGGTGGCTGCTGACAGTACTGGGGTTCATGGCTTAATGGTGCTACTGAAACCCAAACCAGCCTGTGTCAGAGCCTCGGCACCGAGCACGACTTTCAGGGCAATAGGGGCCAGCTGGCTTTTCCGTTTAGTATGAATCCAACCCTGTGCTGGCCCACAGAACCAGTGTGTCGGTGAAGGTCAGGACTGCGGAAGCCATGCCATGTTGAGGGTGCGATGATGGCAAGCGCTGGGCAGCGAGTCCGCCTTCATCCTTAAGGATCGGTCCACGGCTCTCCCTAGGTTGCTGACTCACATTTCCATTCCTGCGTGGTAGGAGGATGACTTTGGAGTTGTTTCTCGAAGACTTTGGGCTGTAGAAGGAGCTCTAGTGATGTAGTAGCTTAAGCACTGAGTTGCTAACTGTAAGGCTGGTGGTTCAAACCCACTAACCACTCTAAGGGAGAAAGAGGAGGCGATCTCCCGTAAATATTTACAATCTCAAAGCCCCGCAAGATCAGCTCCACTTTGTGTCATAGGATGTCTACTTTGTGTCATGGGATGTCTCCTTTGTGTCACGGGATGACTACTTTGTGTCAAGGGATGACTGCTTTGTGTCACGGGATGTCTCCTTTGTGTCACGGGATGTCTCCTTTGTGTCATGGGATGTCTCCTTTGTGTCACGGGATGTCTCCTTTGTGTCATGGGATGTCTACTTTGTGTCACGGGATGTCTACTTTGTGTCTTAGGATTGTTATGAATTGGGTTTAACTAGATGGCAGTGGATTTGGTTTTGGGTTTTTAGGGGTAGTCTTTGTGCTACTTAAAGGACACTTTTTTAGGTGGGAATTTAGGTTGAGAACTGGATTGCTAACAGTAAGATCCATTCAAATCCACCAGCCACTCCGTTGGAAAAAAACCAAGTTGTCTTCTTTAAAGATATATAGCCTCAGGGACCCTGTACAGAGTCACTATGGGTCAAAGCCAGTAGGTGTCAGTGAGCTTGGTTTTGCTTTTTGGGGGGTGGTTTAGGGGAGGGGAGGTGGGAAAGAGAGGGGGCAGGAGGGAGGATCCTTGAGAGAAGCCTCAACGCTGAGCCTATCCCTCCTTTGCAGGGTTTCCCGGGGAACACGAACGCGGACAGCGTGGTGCTCTACCGGCTGCGGCCTCCAGTGGAATCGCGCTATGTGCGCTTCCTGCCAGCGGCCTGGAACCATGATGGCCGCATTGGAATGCGAGTGGAGTTATACGGTTGCACCTACCGTAAGTGTGCCTCGGGGTGGAAGTGGTACTGCACCCCAGAGCACGGTGGGAGGACCCAGGGTGGGTGTCTACCTTAAGTGCGCTGAGGGAATGCATTCAGGATGTCCAGGACATGGCACCAGGACGTCCCAAGATTGGTGTCACCTCCTGGCCCCCATGGCCCTGTTCCAATACCAAACCATACAGAATCTTAGTCATGTTTATGTATCAATTTTAATCTTAGAGCAATATGTGATCAGTAAAGTTGTAAATTGCTTAAATTTAATCTTTCTTAGCTTATAGGAATACTAACAACAAAATCTGTGGAGGATTAAAAATCTTTTGGGATCATACAAACAAACTATGGATAACATTGCAAAGAATGAGTACTTCAGACATTTCACTGTGCTCCTGAGGAACATGTGCATTGACTAAGAGACAGTTATTCAAACAGAACAAGAAGATCAGAAATGGTTTAAGATCAGAAATGGTGTGCGCTAAGGTTCTGTTCTTTCGCCGTATGTATGCTGGGTTATATGAAGAAGAATGTAGCATCAGGATTGGTGGAAGACTCATCAACAACCTGCTATATTCAGATGACACAACTTTGCTTGCTGAAAGTGAAAATAATGATGAAGATAAAAAACTACAGACTTCAGTTCAGATTGCACCTACATGTAAATACAATGGAAACCCTCACCACTGGACCAATAAACAGCATCCAGATAAATAGAGAAAAGATAGGAGTTGTTGAAGACTTCATTTTGCTTGCATCCATAATCAATGCTCATGGAAATAGTGGTCAAGAAATCAATGTCCTTCTCCAGACACTGGCCCCTGCTGACAATATGTCTCAAGTAAGAGAGATGAAGTGTTGACATATTGATTAGGCAAATCTATTGCAAAAGACCTGTTTTAAGTGTTAAAGAGTAAAGGTATTAGTCTGAGGACTAAGGTGCACTTGGCTCTACCCATAGCAGTTTCATGTGCCTCCTATGCGTGTGAAAGTTGGGCAATGAAGAAGGAAGACCGAGGAAGAATTGATGTATTTGAATCATGATGTTGAAGAAGATTAAATGCACCTTGCAATACTAGAGGAACAAACAAGTTTGTCTTGCAAGAAATACAACCAGAATGTTTCTTATAAGCAAGGATGGTGACACTTCATCTCTCTTACTTGAGTCATGTTGTCAGCAGGGGCCAGTGTCTGGAGAAGGACATCAGCTTGGAAAAATGGAGGCTTGGTGAAGAAGAAGCAGACCCCCAACAAGATCGATGAACAAAGTGGCAGTATCAGTGGGCTCAAACATAACAACGGTTGTGAGAATGGCACAGGACAAGGCAGTGTTTCATTCTGTTGTTTAAGGGTTTCTAGGAGTCAGAACTGACTCGACAGCACTTAACAACAACAAAATTGTGTTTTAAAATAGGTCTACAGTTAACTAAAGAATTAATAGCAACTGAGTGGGAACCTTTTCAACTTTTAGTGCTTACAAGTTGGGTTGCTAACCTCAATGAGGTCAGCAGTTTGAAACTACCAGCCGTTCTGAAGGAGAAAGATGAGAAGTTCTGCTTTGTAAATATTTACAATCTTAGAAAGCCTATGCAGGATGGCTATGAGTCAGTGTTTTTATTGTTATAACCAACTATCAGTCCAGACTCATAGTGACTCTGTATAAGTTTTCCGAATAGCTGCTGGTGGGTTTGAACCACTGACCTTGTGGTTAGCAGGCTACTGTTTATCTTATACACTGCACACCAGACCCTTATAAGCAACTATGCTTTTGCTATTAAGTGTTGTTGAATCAGTTCTGACTCACAGACACTCTGTACAGGGTTTCTGAGGAGCGACTGGTGAGTTTGAACCGCTGACCTTGTCGTACTGCACTTATTCTACAATGCCACATCAAGACTCCATAAGAGAATATGTTGTCTAGTACTATAGCGTTAGTTCCGACTCATAGTGACCCTGTATAGAGTTTCTGAGGAGCAGCTAGTGGGTTTGAACTGCCAACCTTGGTTCTCAGTCCAGTACTGATCCTACAGTGCTGCACAAGGAGTCCATAAGCAACTATAGGCATGTTGTTGTTGTTGTTGTTAGGTGCCATTAGTTATGGTATTGCCAACACCATAACTCAAATGCATCAGTTCTGACTCAGAGCAACTCTGTATAGGGTTTCCAAGGAGTGGCTGGTGCATTTGAACTGCTAACCTTATGGTTTGTAGTCCAGTGCTTATGCTACAGTGCCACACCATGACTCCTTTTTTAAGCATACTCCTCGTCAATTTTAAGTCATAGCCTCCCACCAGGCCCACAAATTGACCAATCCAATTCCTTTAGTGGATCATAAGTCAATCAATTTTATCATCCCAGCCAATCATTCTATAAGCCCATCACTGGAAAGGGCCTACAAAAACAATACATTGCACGGCGTCCCCAGATAGCAGGTCTGTTTGTTGTATAAGTGCATAGGTATTGTGCACAGCAAGTGTGAGGTAGGAGCATGATCCGGGTGAGGAGTGGAGATGGGGGTTGCGTAGGCTTGGGTTAGGAGTGGTCATAGCTGTGTGGCATTCCAGGAGCAGAGTGCCATATGTAGGTGTGTAGTTGGGTGGGGTACACAGCCAGGGATCAGATTAAAGGGCCATGTGGGGCTGATGCTAACAATGTCAGGTCCTCACCAGTCACCTTAGAACAGGTGCATGTCATGAGGAGGGACTTGCGGAGTCACTTCTAGGATTTTACAGCTCTGGAGTCATTTCCATTCCAGGTTGTCATCCTTTTCTGTTGTCCATCTCTTTTAGTCCAGACACCCCACAATCTGTCTGGGGGCTCATTTCAGCTCTGGATAAGTCTCCCCGTACTAAGCTTTCTCTTGGAACTTGTGACATTTTGTAGCTGCTTCTCCCACTACGTCTAGAACAGCTTCAAGGTCACTGTGTCCTTTGGTCAGGGCTGGTGGCCAGCCTGGGTCATTTGTAACAGGCCATTATTCCACGTGGTAGTCCTCAGAACAAGCGTGAGTCTGAAGGTTTCTCAGGATCAGCTCACACCCTAAATTTAGTAAAGCTCTGCCACTGGGAACATGAAGGCCCACATAAAAATTCAGAAAGTTAATCTGTTACCGTGATTTGGAAAGCAGCGCACTCCTACTTTAACAAATGTGGAACGTGCTGCCCTTCATCAGCATGAATGAGAACCACAGCTCTTCATACTTCATCACTAGAACTAGTACAAAAAGCTCAACACTTCCTGGCATATTCTGCACAATGGTGTGGAAACACGTGTCCTATTCTTCCCCATGACCACTGCTCCAGTAAACTCCACAGCCACTTAATCAGAGGACTGGAAACAACTCCCAACCAGTCTTCACTCCCCAGGTCTTCTCCTCATTCCCTCCTGTACAGAGCTCCTCGGAGCTTGGTTGGTCACATCCATATGATTCCCCAGCTCTTCCGTATACTTTCAGGATAAATCAAATGGCCTGCTATACTCCCAGGGTCCTTGGATCATGCTTCCAATTGGTCTTGTCTCCACAGGATCCTGCAAGCATTCTGTGCTCCTTCCTTATGCACTAAGCACTATTTTCTTTTATATATTCCTGGAGTTCTGACTTGATGAAAATGGTTTGTAAACCCCTTTGTATATCCGCCTGCTTCTCTATGGAGCAAAGGAAGGCCACTATGTCAGTGGTCACATTACACGCGACTGCCAATCTGTATGTTCAACACAGGTCTCGTTATTTTAATTATTGTTAACCTTTTATTGTGAATTGAGTGAGGGTTAAGAGACCAGATCATCAGTTTTACTTTCAACCAATCATACAGTTTGTTTTATCTCAATGATTACAATGCCTTCCCTGCAACAACAGTCATCATCCTGCTTCCTCTCTGTGACTCCCCACCCCCTTTTTCAGTTTTTATTGTGAATTATGTTAGTTTACATGAGAGAACATTATCTATTATCCTTACACTCATCCTATCGTATTTCATTTCATTGCAATGATTACAATCCCCTGCATGCATCATCAAACATCATTGGGTACACCTCACACACCTGCCCCCCCCTCCCAGCCACCAGCACACAGCCCATCTCCCTCCCTGAGTCCAGAGTCCCCAGCCTGTGGCTTCCCTTTTACATCTTATTTTTCACAAATCAACAAACCAAAAATATTTTTTGGACACTTACAAAACAAAAGATATATATTCATTTAAGTGTCCAAAGGGCATATTTTGCCAGCTAGCTTCTTGCCTGCAGGCACACAGCCTTCCTCAGTCCATGGGCCTAGAGTCTACAGCCATTCTGTCTTTCCATGCAATCACCTCTGCTATTGTCTCTGCTGTTACCACCTTTCTAGGAAGGATCTTACACTCCATTCAGGCTTTTCCTTCTTGATGGCCCTCTGTTCCTGCAATGAAAGATTAACTACTTCCCCATTTTAGCTACACATCTTCTACAATTATAGATTTGACCATTGCAATTCATTTTGCTAACAATTACTCACAATTCAGTCATAAATTGAATGTATCCCCTTTCACCAGATCCATCTGCAAAAGAGGAGAACTCTTCTGTGTAGATTCTACATTATCTCCATCACTCTAAACTAAGCACACTCATGAAGACTTGTAAGCCTGTTACTGCATGCCTCCACAGCCTCCCATGTTTTATAGCCAATGTTGAAATTACCAGTCCCTATCGACCCAGTGCACTGAGGAAAGAAACAAGCTTTATCCTTAATATGACGAATCCTTCCATTGCCGTTGGAATTTTTAGCAACTGCATAAGTGAAGGTCCCATTCATCAAATTGTAGCAATTTATATTTGCTCACAGTAACACAGATCTCGTTAGACACACCACCTTCCAAATCCACCTTATTGCTATAAACAAGGATGAATTCTTCTAATCCTCTCTCAGAGCTGTCACTAACCCTTGTCTCATGGAATGAGCCTACCATCCCAGCTACTTGACTCTGTTAACACGGGCACCTCCACATACGAAGTCCGCTTCCAAGCCCTTATG